CATGCAGGGGTCAGTAGGGGAGTTCATAAAAAATTGGTAAGGCATTGTACTGGGGATAAGTAGGGCAGAGGACAGGGGTCACTGTGACAGGACAAAGGACAGTGGTAAATGCTGGCAGGGCAGAGGACAGGGGTCACAGCTGGCAGAGCAGAGGACAGGGGTCCCAGCTGGCAAGGGAAAGGACAGGAGTCACCACTGGAAGGAGAGAGGACAGGGGTCACCGCTGGCAGGAGAGAGGACAGGGGTCACCGCTAGCAGGAGAGAGGACAGGAGTCACTGCTGGCAGGAGAGAGGACAGGAGTCACTGCTGGCAGGAGAGAGGACAGGAGTCACTGCTGGCAGGAGAGAGGACAGGAGTCACTGCTGGCAGGAGAGAGGACAGGAGTCACTGCTGGCAGGAGAGAGGACAGGAGTCACTGCTGGCAGGAGAGAGGACAGGAGTCACTGCTGGCAGGAGAGAGGGACAGGAGTCACTGCTGGCAGGAGAGGACAGAGGACAGGACAGGAGTCACTGCTGGCAGGAGAGAGGACAGGAGTCACTGCTGGCAGGAGAGAGGAACAGGAGTCACTGCTGGCAGGAGAGAGAACAGGAGTCACTGCTGGCAGGAGAGAGAGTCACAGGAGAGAGAACAGGAGTCACTGCTGGCAGGAGAGAGAACAGGAGTCACTGCTGGCAGGAGAGAGAACAGGAGTCACTGCTGGCAGGAGAGAGACAGGAGTCACTGCTGGCAGGAGAGAGGACAGGAGTCACTGCTGGCAGGGCACAGGAGTCACCACTGCAGTAGAGGGCAGGGGTCACTGCTGAAAGGAAATAGGACAGAGGTCACTGCTGGCTGGAGAGAGGACAGAGGTCACCACTGCAAGGATAGTGGACAGGGGTCAACGCTTAAAGGAGAGAGGACAGATCTCACCGCTGGAAGGAGAGAGGATGGGGAAACCACTGCAAGCATACAGGGGGGGGGGGGGGTCACCGCTGGAAGGAAAGAGGACAGGGGTCACCACTGGCAGGGCAGAGGACAGAGGTCACCACTGCAGGAGAGAGGGCAGGGGTCATTGCTGAAAGGAAGTAGGACAGATGTCACCACTGGCTGGACAGAGGACAGGGGCACCGCTGGAAGGACAGAAGTCATTGCTTAAAGGAGAGAGGACAGATGCCACTGCTTAAAGGAGAGAGGACAGGGGTAACCACTGGAAGGATACAGCAAGGAGGGGGGGGGTCACCGCTGGAAGAAGAGAGGATAGGGGTCAATATTAGCAGGGCAGAGGACAGTGGTCACCACTGCAGGAAAGAGGGCAGGGGTCACTGCTGAAAGGAAATAGGACAGATGTCACCACTGGCTGGAGAGAGTACAGGGTCACCACTGAAAGGATAGAGGACAGGGTTATCACTTAGAGGAGAGAGAACAGATGTCACCACTGGAAGGAGAGAGGACAGGGGTAACCACTGGAAGGGGAGAGGATAGGGGTAACCGCTGGATGGATAGAGCACTGGGGGTCACCACTGCAAGGAGAAAGGACAGATGTCACTGCTAGAAGGAGAGAGGACAGGAATAACCGCTGGAAGGATAGAGCGTGGGGGGTCACCGCTGGAAGGATAGAGCGTGGGGGGTCACCGCTGGAAGGAAAGAGCGTGGGGGCTCACCGCTGGAAGGAAAGAGCGTGGGGGCTCACCGCTGGAAGGAGAGAGGACAAATGCCACCGCTGGAAGGAGAGAGGACAGTGTTAACCACTGGAAGGATAGAGAGGGGGGGGGGGTCACCGCTGGAAGGAGAGAGGAGGGGGGATGGGGGGGGGGGTATACTGCTGGAGCACATGCAGCAATATTTCCTTCTCAGTTCCTTTCCACACAGTACAGAGCTGAAATCCAGTTCCCTTATGCATGTCTACAATCTACACAGTGTGTAGCTGGTTACTGTGTTGTACTTCTGACCTCTGAAATTGCCTGGTCAGAATGGCAGCACTGCCACAGTAACCGGCTACACACAGTACTTATCATAGCTGTGCATAAGGGAATTGGATTTCGGCTCTGTGTAGTTTGTGAAGGAACCAAGAAGATCTTGCTGCCTGTGCTCAGCCTGTGTATGTACATGCTGGGATGGGAGTCAGTTGGACAAAGTCTTAGGTATGGAGGGGGGTTGTGGGTGGGATGCTTTGGGGGCACATCTGAAATCTGGGGGGGGTCTTTACTTACTGTTTTCCTCCCCATCCCCACTCTGTTACTGGACAGTGAAAGAAGGAGCAGCATGCTAATGAGCTCATCTCTCTGTCACCCTGCTCTCTCCTCCTATTGGCGTTCTCCTTGAACTGCAACAAGCCTGACTGGATCCTTGTGCTGCTTTTCTTTCCCCATTCTGAGCTCTGCTGTTTAAGGACTGCAAGAGGCTGATATCAGGTAAATTCAACACACTTAAGCTGCTTGCATTAAAAAAAAACCCTACACAAAGCTTTGATGATGTATTGTATTAATGATCACAGAGTTGCATTAACTTGTGTCTTTATATATCTGCCTGGAGTTTTAATATGATTTATCTTTTATCACACTATTACTGAAACTTAATTGACAATTCAGATCCAACTAAACATTACAATAGAGTGTCAAACAAAATTTAATAAAAGGCATTTAAAAGTTGACAACCAGTGTTCAGCAATAAGCCGGGACCAGAAATGGTTTATGTTACTGAGTCATGCCAGACTTTTGATAAATAGCTGAGCTGAGTAGGCAGTAATGACTTTCCTGCTCCAAAAACAAAGCATCAAACAGTTCAGTTAATATATTTCATGTAAGTATATTAAAATTTTGCAAATTAGTCACATTAATTGCTCTTTCTGTGCAGTTTTGTGAGTCAGTTATTTCATCTACAGATTATAGTTGGGACATAAATATCCATAGTCCATTTTTAATTAAAAAAAACATAATTTGGCACGGAGTGTTTAAAGCTGAATTCTGGGAATTCAGACACTTTCTAAAGTGCTCTGGCTTGCTATGTCCAAAGAGGTTCATGCCAGCTCTGACAATTTTACTGAGCGCCGGGAGTACAGTTATTGCTATACTCCCATCACTCTGACAGGAGAGACACTGCCTTCTCATACAGCAGCAGATCTGCCTGCCCATCCCGTCTGTTGTCCATTCACAGAAGGTATCCCAGAGTGGGGCTTTAATGAACATTCACCTGATCACTCATCAAGGCTCTCACTTATCTTAGCTTCACACTGATGCAATGCAAATTGAATCCGCTTTGCAATGCAGTTTCAGGAGCAGCTCCAGTGCGAGTTGGTACTAGAGTCCACAGCATGAAGCTTCCATTCAAGTCTGAGGAGCTACAAATCGCACCACACTAAACTTGCACATGACCCTTTTTTCAAATCGCATCAGATTTGCACTGCATATATGTGGACAGCCCCCACAGAAACTCATGTACTTTCACTTGTCATGTGATTCCATGCTTTCTGGAACATATCAGAAATCTCATCAGTGTGATAACTGATGCTAAATACCGTGGTTAGTGTATACACTTTCGTGCTCCTTCTTAAAGACCACTACTCTTAAACTCCCTACTCTTCTAACTAATCACTGGGTTTTTTTTAAAAAAAAAAAAACAAAGAAAAAAACCCTAACATTTCCTTAACCTACCACAGTCACATGATATGTCAAGTCTTGAGTCTTCTTTTTTTTCCCAACTAAAGAATAGGATGGTCCTTCTACAGGGTCAGTGCAGAGTGAGAGGGTCACTCTTCAAGAAAACAGATCCCATTGACTTGCTAGCAGCAGGGCCTTCTCAGACTCCAGAATACTGCAGCGGCATGACAATGTCACTATGTAGGGTGGCAAGATGGGAGACTGAAGTGCTGAATTAGCCATTAATTTTCACTCCCGGTAAGTAAAAAGGGGATTTTGATTTGTTTTGTTTTACATTTGTAAATAGGTGTGAGCTAAGTTTGTAAATGATAAGGGAACGGGGAAAATCAATTTGACCAGAGATTAGTTTTTTAACTGGAACAGTGATTACAAATGAAATCCTGTATACCATTCCCTACGGCCCACTGTCAACGGATTCTGGGCCACAGAAGGGCAAAGGTAAGTGCCCTCCTGTGACCCAGAATAAAAGTCTGGTTAAAAAACATTTTGGCCATATTTCTCTTTTAAAGTCCACCCCATACCCCCTGCAGCTGCTCTCTTCCAGTGCCGCTGGGGTTAATACAGCTGCTGGACCTGCCATAGGCACTTGTTAAAGAGTGCCAACTATGCTCACCATTTCTGCCTTCCCCCTCCATTCACAGAGGATGTACTACAGCTTCCATAAATGAAAAATACCCTATGAATGGAGGACAGATGAATGAATGACTCCTTTTTTTTCCTCCAGCATCATTCAACCTACTTCCTCTGAGCCCAGGTCATCCTAGATCCGCCCCAGCCTTTTACTGGATAGAGAAGGAGAGGCAGTACAGAGCTCACCTATCTGTTACTATGTTTCCATCTCCAGTCAGAATGTTCCTTGTCAGCACATTAACTAACAACTCGTGCTGCCTCTCACAACCCAGCCATGCAGCACAGGTCCTGCAAGAGGCTAATACCAGTTCAAATTCAGGCACTTATACTGATTGCATTAAAAAAAGAAATGGAATGATTCAGTAATGATTACAAAGCTGCATTAATTTGTGTCTTTTATATCTACCTAGAGTTCAGCTTTACTTTATTCATTAAGAGTCTCTGTTCCTTAGGTTAATCAATTCCAGTTTATTGGTGACAAGTACTAATTTGTTGCTCAAATTGAATGCTCCAACCTTCAGAAATGTCATCAGTCACTACCATCTACTGACTAGCATATTCTGCATACTTACGGTTGTGCCTAACTGAATTGTATCGACATGTAAGAGCACAATCACAGAGAAGCAGATGATATACAGTATGTGGTCAGTGTGGATGCTTAAAAGGAAAATGAAATGATCTTGACCCCATCCATGCATCAGTTACAACCACTCGTTTTTTCAACAATTCGTACCTCTTTTCCCCATTCATCGATTGTCCTCCATAGATGATTATAATCCAAAATCACTAAAAGATTCCATGATGGAGGGAAAGACCCATGAAATCCATATGTTTTACCCTTGAAAAGAGAAGAAAAAAACAGAGTAATTGTACATTTTATGATATAGTGTACATAATAAAACAATGGGTACATTTGAGTGTACAGCATCAACTACAGCTTAGGACTTTAAATAGGTTCTCGATTATACTGCATGCCTGTGCAAACGAAGAACCACCTTTGTCTAGCCAGCGTCCAGCATTGTTGAAGGCTTTTTTCTGCAGCAATAATTATAACTGCTAGATTACTTTCAGGTTGCTTTCATACGAATGATCTGATCGATTCTCCTCTATGGAGCAGTATGTCCATTTACCCGCCTACATCCAATCCGATCCACTCCATTCCCTTTCCATCCAGAGGATAAGATGGCAACCAGATGTAAATGAAGAGTTGGTCCTTTTACATCCAACTGCACATACTGTAGGGGGTGTCTGTGTCTACTCTGCACAAGCGGAGCAGACACAGACCTGTCATCTACTTGCTCAGTGGGGATCAGCAGACAGATCTCCTGTTGAGCAAGCAGATTGCAGGCAGAGTCTGCCTCATGTGAAAGGGGCATTAGGGTTGTGTTTGGCATGTTCAAACACTGCTAATACCCTCTGAATATTGGATAAGGCCTTTTGGAAAGCTGGCCTGAGCAGGAGTTATAAGGGAAGCCTGGAGGCCAGGCAGCCACAATTTTGGGTCATGCATGAAGGTAAAAAAAACTTTGTGTGCAGCTCCTCCTCCCCCCCAACCCCAATACTTACTTAAGCCCAATCTCAAACCAGTGATGTGCACAAGAGCAGTGGCTCTCCTGGGTCTCTCCCTCTTCATTGGCTGAGACACAGCAGTGGGAGCCATTGGCTTCCGCTGCCATCAATCACAGCCAGTGCGGAGGGAGCAGAACGTGGGGCTGATCTGAGCTCGCTGTGTCTTAAGGACACAGAGTGGGGCTCAAGAGTGAGCACTCAGCAAGAGGGAGGGGCCAGGAGCGCCAACGGGGGACCCGAGAAGAGAAGGGTAGAGGCTGCTCTGTGCAAAACCATTGCACAGAGCAGGTAAGTATAACATGTTTGTTCTTTAACAAAAAAATTAAAATGTTGCCTTTACAAGCACTTTAATGATATTAGTCCTTATGAATTAGGGCGAGAGATGGATCTGTCCCTTATTTGATCACACTTTGATATACACCAATCAGCCATAACATTAAGATCACTGACAGGTAAAGAGAATAAGAATGACTATCTTGTTACAATGGTATCTGAAGGTTGGTGGGATATACTAGGCAACAAGTAAACATGTTGTCCATGAAGTTGATGTGGCGGGTGCTGGCTCATTAACAACCAGCTAGTAATTGTATAAATTCATTAAAGAGGGCATGTTAGACCACAACTTCTTTAATATATTTGTTTACTTTTTTTGTGAATTGACTTTTACACAGGTTTATGTTGTATTTACCGAGCGTTTCGTGTTTTTGAGGTAAATACCACATAAACCTGTAGTGAACTGACATTTTCATGTCACATAAGATATTTGGATACATGATCCAAATATTGCATGCAATATCCTTTATTGAGCCCTATGTTACAGGCACATTCCTGTTTCCTGAAAGGCTTTACTTAGAAATGAAATACTATTCAGAATACAATGTACATTATCAATGCAAAGTAAAATATATTATGCTTCATATTTGCCATGGGGCTACAGTAACAATCCAATAAACAGGGTGACCCTGTTTTAGCTGTCTATGTCCCTGGTCCTTATATAGGTTCCAGGATTTACCTGTCATGGTGGGCACTCCCGTTCAGGGGTCTTCAGGGTCTGGGTTCCATAGGGATGGACCTCAGCCCTGGGCTTGTATGGTGAATAAGTTTATTGTGAATAAGTTTCAGGCACAGTCCTGTTTCCTGAAAGTTTTAACGTATAAATAAAATAGTATTCAGAACACATAATCGGTGTAAGGGCCCTTTCACACGGGCGAACCGATCAGACTACCCATTGTTCTCTATGGGGAGGCAGATGTACATGGACATGTGTGCATTTACACATATCTGTATCCAATCGGTGCGTTTATATCCAGCTGCCCATAGAGAGCAATGGGCTGTGTCAGCTCTGCACAAGTGGAATGGACACAGACTTGTCATCCTCCTGCTCAGCAGAGATCAGCGGATAGATCCCCAACTGAGAAGGCGGACCTGCTTGGCAGAGCCTGGCTGTGTAAAACGGCCCTAAAGAAAATACTAGAGATAGAGATGTCTCATACTTGCTCTGGGGCTTTGATAACAGTACAATAAACCGGGTGACCTCATTTTAGCTGTCCATGTCGCTGGCCCCAATACAGGGTTCAGGATTTGCCTGTAACAGTAGGCACTTCTTGAGGGGTCTTCAGGGTCTAGGTTCCAAAGGGATGGACCTTGTCCCTGGACTTGTATAGCACCCTGTGGCTAACTGAATGCCTTGCACCAAGTGCCGAGGTGAGCACCCAAGCAGCATCCAGTGCCCGAAGCAACATTACAGGTTGTCTCCATGGTGTGGGGGTCGGGTACAACTCACAAGGTTTCACCAGGTTGCACCGATCCAGGTGCATTGCTTCTATGGTTATATTAGAAAATAAAGTTGATTGAAGAATTAGGAGTCAAATAATAAACTAGTTAATCTAAGAGTGATTTCTCTGTAAGGGAGAAGGGGGTAATAGCCTTAGAACACTAACCAAAAACTAAGGACTTGTTGAGTGGTGTAGGATTATAGGGGGTGCCCAGTTGGACTCCAAAGCTTTGTCAGTGTCCAATGATCTGAAGATACCAGTCTATAACCCAGGATCTAAAAATTTCAAGCCTGTGTCCTGTAATGAACAATTTTATTTTTGACCTTTACTGAAAAACATATTGTAGAAAATATGTTCAAAAACAGACTACACTTCCTTAAAAATATTTTGTATATCACCGGTTTGATTTAGGCAATCTTCTGCAATAAACCTCTTTGCTCAAACATCTGCAAAATATCAGCTTTACAGTCTAGGAGAAAAACATCTTAAGTAAATAGCAAAGATCAATGTACACTGTTTAAGAAAAAAAAAAAATATAGTAAAAGTCAAAGATCAATGTACACTGTTTATAGTCTCTCTCACTCTCTCTAAGTGTTAATTATTACGAAACAGTAAAATCTAACCATGCTTGAGAGAAAGATGAATTCACAGTGTACGTGACAGAGCACAAGTACAACACAACATACATAATAAACAGCCTTCGCTTGCCGTCTCCATAAAATGTGTTGGTGGTATATTGAAGCCATTAATCACTATATCTTGGAAAACTTGCATTCAACAATAATGCCTGAAATAGCAATTTTTTTCCTTATCTTTCTCACAAAGAGCTCTAGAGAAAAGGTTATAAAGGGAAGAGTATATGAAAAATGAACCTTTGCAACCTTCATATAAAAATAAATTGCACTTCAAAAACAAGATATCTAGAAGATAGAAAAAAACAGTCAAGTAAAACCACAAGATACAGAGAAACCATACACCATAGAACTGTTTTGATACATGCAGGGGGCACTGGGGCCCAACAGAGAAAGCAATGTTTTTTCCTCACATAATTGGGGCCCACCAGAGGATCATCTTCTGTCCCTTAAGCCAGTATACCTCTGGACACACACACACACACACACACTATATTGCCAAAAGTATTGGGACGCCTGCCTTTACACGCACATGAACGTTAATGGCATCCCAGTCTTAGTCCGTAGGGTTCAATATTGAGTTGGCCCACCCTTTGCAGCTATAACAGTGTCAACTCTTCTGGGAAGGCTGTCCACAAGGTTTTAGGAGTGTGTCTATGGGTATGTTTCACCATTCTTCCAGAAGCACATTTGTGAGGTAAGGCACTGATGTAGGATGAGAAGGCCTGGCTCGCAGTCTCCACTTTAATTCATCCCAAAGGTGTTCTTACGGGTTGAGGTCAGAACAGGCCAGTTAAGTTCCTCTACCCCAAACTCACTTATCCATGTCTTTATGGACCTTGTTTTGTGCACTGGTGCGCAGTCATGTTGGAAAAGGAAGGGGCCATCCCCAAACTGTTCCCACAAAGTTAGGAGCATGAAATTGTCCAAAATGTCTTGGTATGCTGATGCCTCAAGATTTCCCTTCACTGGAACTAAGGGGCCAAGCCCATCCACTGCAAAACATCCCCAAACCATAATCCCCCCTCCACCAAACGTTACACTTGGCACAATGCAGTCAGGCAAGCACCGTTCTCCTGGCAACCGCCAAACCTAGACACATCCATCAGATTGCCAGACAGAGAAGTGTGATTCGTCACTCCAGAGAACAAGCCTCCACTGTTAGAGTCCAGTGGTGGCGTGCTTTACACCACTGCATCCGACGCTTTGCATTGCACTTGGTGATGTAAGGCTTTGATGCAGCTGCTTGGCCATGGAAACCCATTCCATGAAGCTGTCTATGCACTGTTGCTGTGCTAATCTAAAGGCCACATGAAGTTTGGAGGTCTTTAGCTATTGACTCTGCAGACAGTTGGCGTTTTCTGCACACTGTGCGCTTCAGTATGTGCTGACCCCGCTCTGTCATTTTATGTGGCCTACCAGTTCATGGCTGAGTTGCTATTGTTGCCAGTTGCTTCCACTTGGTTATAATACCACTAACAGTTGACCGTGGAATATTTAGTAGCAAGGAAATTTCATGGATGGACTTATTGCACAGGTGGCAACCTATTACGGTACCACACTTGAATTCACTGAGCTCCTGACAGCGACCCATTCTTTCACAAATGTTTGTTGAAGCAATCTGCATGCCTAGGTGCTTGATTTTATACACCTGTGACCATGGAGGTGATTGGAACACCTGAATCCAATGATTTGGAGAGGTTTCCTAATACTTTTGGCAATATAGTGTATGTACCACTACTGGTAGTACACTATTTCTACACGGAATGCAGCTATGCATTTGTTTTCATGTACTAGACACCTCCTGTTTATATAAGTGCTTATGCTGAGATTTGTTAGGCAAACTCTGGAACTGTCATTTT